ACTTTTGTCTGAAGATTTTGAGCCTCAGGTGATTATTTTGGGCACTGAACTGACTCTAGTGGAAGAAATGTTCTCTCTTTCCCTCTAATGCAAAGTGGTGAAGCTCACTTCTCTTGCTGTTTTGGTTCCAGTTGTCTGATTTTGGACTTGCTAAATGGGCATCGACAACTTCATCCCATATAGTCTGTACTGATGTCGCTGGAACTTTCGGGTATGTGACTTCATCTATTGACTTATCTGTGGCATTCTTGGTATTTTTAAGCTTTGATTTTAATAGTCTGGAACTTAACTGTCATGAAACTGACCGCTCAAACGATTTGCTGCAGTTACTTGGCTCCTGAATACTTCATGTATGGCAAAGTCAATGACAAGATCGATGTGTATGCATTTGGCGTTGTGCTCCTTGAGCTTCTTTCTGGAAGAAAGCCTATTAGCAATGATCACCCAAAAGGTCAAGAGAGCCTGGTTATTTGGGTATGTCCCTTGCACCATTTGAAAACTTTCATGTACAAGGGGGGTTTCTTGTCTTGCTGTAGTAACTTACATTTCCTCAAAATATTTGCTTCTGTAGGCAAAACCGATTCTTCATGTGGGCAAGGTTACCCAGTTATTAGATCCAAGTTTGGGTAGCAACTATGATCATGATGTGATTCAAAGGATGGTCTTGGCTGCTACACTCTGCATTCGACGTGCCTCTCGAGCTAGGCCGCCTATGAGCATTGTAAGTCTCTAATATGCTCCGGAATGCAAGTCTCTTATAGTGTCTAGAGTATGATATCTAATATCCCCTTGTTGCTCGATGATCAAAAAAGGTTTCGAAGCTCTTGAAAGGCGACCCCGAAGTAACAAAGTGGGCGAACCAGCAAGTGAGTATTGCTGCAGAGGACTCCGACTCTCTCGATGAAGGATCCAGCCCACGTTCCGACCTCAAATCGCACCTTAACCTCGCACTGCTCGACGTGGACGACGATTCACTCTCAATGAGCAGCATTGAGCAAAGCTTATCATTAGAAGAGTACTTGCAAGGCAGGTGGAGTCGCTCGTCCAGCTTCGACTAACCAGAACTCCTACCATCCAAATGGTGGAAGGAAGAAGAGGTGGTCTTCGAGTTCTCTCGGGTAAAACCGAATTCGTTCACCTCTATGTATATGTGAAATATCTTTCACCCTCCCCTTTTATGAGCTGGGTGTTCTTTCTTTCATTTTGTCTGTCTGGTGTTGGATGTGAGGTTGTTTGTGGTGGTTTCCCTCCTCCTTCCCCATTGGCAAGTTTCAGTAGAGAGTGTGATTCATGGCTGTGGCCCTCCTTTCTCAATATTTGTTTGAGATAAAGGCCCCAGCCTTTTAGCTTCTTCTCTGTTGTTTTGTTGCAAGAGCTGTGGGTTTTTGGCTATGTGCACCCATCTCTATTTGTAAGGGTGATGTTGATCACAAAATGGATCTTCATTGCAGTATCTAAGTGGGGGGTAAAAAACAGGTAATAAGAAACAACTTTGGTGGTAGTTTCTTCAACGAGTTGGTTGTTGTTTCATTTGTTTCTCTCTTATCTTTTGTTCCTACCTTGTTTGTTTTGGTCATTTCAATTCAATGTGGTGGTGTAGAAGATCAAGTTGATGACTCATAAACATTGATGACCTCATGGCTTGTTTTCTTCTCTTTCAATTGTGTTTGTCCTAATCCATGGGGTTGAAGAATATAAAGTAAAGTATATGATAAGATCTTTTGTCAATATTGATGACGAAATATTTTGTGAATTTGATAATAAGACATAGATATAGATCAGATACAGATTGATGACTATTTTGTTCTAGTAGACTCTGCTGCTTAAGAAATTAGGATAAATGAGTTTGGGTGGCTATGGGTGGTCAAAAGTTTCAAGCATGCATAATACTGCTTTTGGAGGGGATTTCTTAATGGCAAGTGGCCTTCTACTAAAGAAAAGGTAAAATCATTAGATACTTAGATACTATGGTTGTTAGTTATTCCTAACGTATGAATCTTTGATGAGAATTTCTGAGTTTGTGGAAATAGTTAGTTCAATTACGATTATGTAATGTATGGATCTTTGATGAGAATTTCTGAGTTTGAGGGGGAAATAATAGAAATAGGCGAAGAGGAAGAAAACTAAATTGGATTCCAATCTCTTTGAATATTGACCTTGAAAATAAATACACGTTTATAGGAATAACACCACAAATCTCTAACCATCTATAGTCCTAGGTCGCCGGCCTCTCTTCTCCTTTTCAAAATCCAGTTCCCTTTTCTCAACTCACTAGAAACAATAAATTACCCTAAACAATAATTAACACATAATCCTAATCCGGCTAGAGCACATCCGAATATCTTGAAATAATACAAAAATAATAAAGAAAGTCCTAAATGATACACAATCCTCTTTTACGTCAGGTCGCGTCGCGTCGGCTCGTGTACATGACATATAACTTACAGTTCAGACATATACCGTTTAGTTTATGCAATCAATGAATCATATTTTTCAAAACGACGATAATGAGATTTTAACAACGAGCCTGATGCTAGAATCAATGTATTTCATCGTCAGGTCAGAAAGTGTTTTGAGGCGAAAATGGGTATAACATGGCCCTGCTCCTGTAATGGCTGCCCTTGGTGATAAATAACTTATGCGTTTCTATCTCAAATAACATCAATAGTGACCATCATAGATTCACAGTCCCAAACTCCCATTTGCCCTTTCATATTTTTTAGGGCTTGTCCTTACTTCAAAGCTACTACTGTCTACCACCAATTGGCAATTACCCCACCACCACTACTAATACTCCTAGACCTAGTCTTGTTTGGATTCCCTTTCTTCATATGTTTCATGCCCTAAATCAATCCATCCACATGGCTGGCCCAGTGGGCCTCCTCTCATTTTGCCCACTAATTTCTTCTTCAGTGTGACTTCACTGGTTGAGAGTGGAGACCTAAGTGGGAGGGATGGCCAACAACCCCTTGCCTTTCCTTTCCTTTCCTTTCCTTCCCTTTCATTTCTTTCCACCGACAGTCTCCCTTTTGTTTAAGACATGCATGCCCTATGGCAAATGCCTTGCCTCCCTCCATTATTGAGGCAGGCAATACAGTTGACATAGTCCTCTCTCTCTCTCTCTCTCTCTCTCTCTCTCTCTCTCTCTCTCTCTCTCTCTCTCTCTCTCTCTCTCTCTCTCTCTCTCTCTCTCTCTCTCTCTCTCTCTCTCTCTCTCATTGTGGTATTACGCTGTATGATCATTCATTATCACTTTATGTATCATCACTACGGAAGGCTCGGACAGAGGACCATGTAAAGACGAGTGGTAGAGCTTCAAATCAAATGGCTTTTGGTTTCCTTGATAATGAGAGAAAGTGAGTATCACGTGCATGAGACATTAGACAAGGGAGCTAGAGGTTGAGAAACGGTACGGTCTGGTTTAGATCGGATCATACATATAATTTATGGCCTAGATTGAGTAGGTGAAGTATAGATCATGGATCAGACGGAATATTACACAATTTGTACCAGATTACGTCTGTGCAGTCTGGCCTGGTACGGTTTGGACCATGTATACCATATTGAATGAAAAATGAACAGTTTGTTTAGTCAAACACACGAAGAAAGAAAAAAAATCAAACGAATAATCGAGAGAAAAAATATGGTTTGTCTCCTAAAACATAAATTCTAACATACATGCATAATTTCGATACCATAAATCCAATTAAATAATAGCAAAACAAAGTTATAGCAACTCAATAAACGTTATCATAATGTCATGTATGGAGACACATCTTTCTCTATTTTGTGGAGGAGCGAGGTTTATGAATGAAAGAGGGGATGAGATTTGCAAAATTAGGGTTGGAGACTTGGGTCTAACCGAAGAGTAGTGAGAGTGGTCGATTAAGTTACTAACACGAACTTGGAAGTGGGTTGGGTCCACGACTTGGTCCGTCAAACCACAGTATGGACCAGAACATACTAAGAAATCAATGTATCCTAAAATACAGATCATGGATCAGATTAGACCATTTCTAACGGTCTACAGTCCGGACGAAACTGTACAGTCTGATTTGGTTTACGATTTTTTAAACAATCTGGTATATTTCAATGACGAATTCAGGAATTTTACAACAAAATCTCATGAAGTATTTCATATTATAAAAATTAGTAAAATGCATTTGATGTCTACAATGCTTAACAAATATCTCTCGATATATCCTATTAGACAAGCGTAGTCCATAATTGGGTTAAATCATTATGTTTTGAAAATAATTGGGAATAAGAAATCGTGTTTTACTATTATCTAGATTTGGAAATATAACAAATGAGTTATAGTCTAACAGAAAATGTGTTTGCAGATACCGTAAACTCTATTCAATCAAACTAATCACAAATATAATATAATATAGTCTATTGATGATATTAATCACAAAAGGATTAGCAATACCGTTTCATACAGGCTCTTGAGGATCTTCATTAAATGCCTATGAGAACATCATAGCAGGCCTTGGTAGTGGTCGAACACAGGATATGTCACTGCCACTTCTCAGAGCAAGCATCTACTAAAAATTTCACCGCTAGACTATGTTACCTTTGGCTATCATCATACGTGTTTAATCCTTAACTTCTGATACATAATTTTTCCAATCAAATTAAATAATTAATAATAAAAAGATAAATTTTCTTTTACACTGAAAATATTCATTTTTCTCAACAAAAAAAAAAAAAAAAAACTCACCAAAAAAAGAAACATATTCATTTTGATTTGACAATTGACATAGCTAATCTATGGAGTTCATTACATATAGAAAGCGGGCCGTGAAAAATCTTTGCAGAGGCCCATGGGTTGTCTAAGCCCACACTTAGTAAAGGGAACATGTGGCTCACAGGGGAAATCTGAGAAGTAATCGCCGGCGATGATTGTGGACAGTATCCAGCCAGCCCACGCGTGCTAAACAGCCACAATTTCTAATCCTCAACAGAAAGAAAATTCAATCGAAACGACCACCACCACCGCAACCCGCCATCGGAACCACCGCGACGACGACGGCGGCCACTATCCACCCCTCTCGCAGATAAGCCTGGCGAGCCAGTTTAGATAGCCAATCAAAGAGGCGATTAGAAATCAAAAGACCACCGCCGCCGCCTTTTTTCTTCACCGGCAGCATCAATGGATCCTCGTTCGTTTTACTATCATCACTCCACCCACCATGCCGCTTCTCACCCTCCGCCGCCTGCGCATCCTCCTCCGCCTCCTCACCACATTCCCGCCAACCCTAGTTTCTACAACCTCCCACCTCCGCCGTCGTATCCTCCTCCTGTCTCCCAACCTCAGTTCAATCCCCAAAATCCCCAATTCCCTATCCACGCCAGCAACGTCGTCAACCCTAATCACACCGTTCACGACGATTACTATTCGAGATCGTACCCTCAGCATCCCAGCTTCCCTCAGCCCCCTCGGGCCTTGCATCCGGGGTCCCGTCACAGCGATATTCCTCCTCGCCGATTGCCGGAGTTCAACCATTATGGTCGAGATAGCCGTCCAGATTTCAGAGATTCTCCTAGGGTTTTGTCTGATAGTCGAGGAAGATCAGATTTCGTGCAGGATAGATACGGTAGGGAGGTAAATATGGACCGTGACTCCCCTGCTAGGGTTAGGCGTGAGCTGGATGGCAAGTCTAGATTTTTGGGAGATGTGAACGGGAGGACTGAGCAGAGTTTGAGAGGGGAAGGTTTCCTGGGCCGTGATGATCCTGGATATCATCATAGTCGTGATCAACACCGGTCTTCCAGGGATTACATGGTTGCCTTGCATCATCATAATTCAGATTCCAGAGGTTTTGACTCGGATTCAATGAATTATGAGAGACGGTTTGGTTTGATTTCTGATCATGGCAGAGCGAGTGAAAACAACAGGGTGATACATGATAGAGAAGTTAGGAGAGATGTTCCCCACTCCATGGTTGTGATGGGGAACGAGGAGTTCACTCATGGCGATCATCTTCGAACAAGCTCAGGGAAACGTGAGCACTACATCAGCAGAGAAGAAAGTACGGGCTCGGATTGGCATAATGGCAAGGTTAATAGAGAGGAGAGCAAAGGGTGCAGGGAAAGTAGTTACGAGTTTGATCATACGCCAAAGAAGCAGACACCGAAGAAAAGTGCTTTTCTTAGGATTCAGAAGCCTATGTTCAAGAATAAGGAGAATCACAAGACACATTCCTCTGGTTACTATGGTGATAACAAATCTGGTGCTAGGGCTAAAGACCGTAGTTTGAACAGATCCTGTTCAAAGCCAAGCGAGGGTGGTATTAAATTGAACTCTGTAATTGTGAAAAATGCAGCAAGTCCTTGCAAGGACCTTGAACTTTCCAAAGAGAATGTGGGAGCTTCTTCTACTGCGAAGACTAACACTAGTTCTGTGCCTGGTTCCTGTGGGAATGGTGTGGCATCTGGAGAGGCTATGTTGGAGGGTTCGGGAAAGGACAACCCATCAGATGAAGGAAGAAGTTCTGTTATTTCATCCAGTGCTTCTTTGGAGACGGCCGCAAAGAAGAGAAAAGTAGTAAGGCAATTGGTCAAGAAGAATGTACAGGTTAACGTTGGTTTGTCAAGTTCACAGCCAGCGAAGTTTCCTGATGACAGCAGTGCTTTCCAGATCTGTCCAAAAGATTTACCTGTGATGCCTGAGAATGGCAAACTTGAGACATTGGAGAAGGCTGCGGTATCTGATGAACCAAACTCCAATGGTAGTTTATTACATGAAGCTTCCATTGAAATTGGTGATTCACAGCTCTGTCCAAATGATTTACTTTTTAGGTGTGAGAATGACAAGCTTGAGACATTTGAGAAGGTTGTGGTATCTCATAAATCAGACTCCGTCAAGAATGTTCTCAACGATGCTTCAGTTGAGGATGGTGATCCACAGCACTACCTGAATGATTTACCTGTCATGCTTGATGCATCAGAGAAGGGAATGGTGTCTGATAAATCAATCTTTGATAGCAATCGTGTACATGATGCTCCAGGTGAAATAGGTGATTCACTGCTCTGTGCGAAAGGTCTACCTCTGATGCCCAGGAACAGAAAGCTTGATGCATCAGAGAAGGATATGATCTCTGATAAACCAAATTCAGATGAGAATTTTGTACATGATGCTTCAGTTGAGATTGGTGATTCACCATTCCGGCTGAATGATGTACCTGTGATTCCTGAGAGCGAGAAACTTGAGTCATTAGAGAAGGATAGTGTATCTGGTAAACCAATTCTCGATGAGAATTATATGAATAACGCCTCAGTTGAAATTAGTGATTCAATGCACTGGCCAGATGATTCACATGTGATTTCTGGGTCTGACAACGAGATATTTCAGAAGGCTATGCTATCGGATAAAACAAACTCTGATGTGAGTTTTGTTCATGATGCTCCGGTCCATGACTTGCATGTCACTATTATTAGCAGAGTGGATGGTAATCTGTTGACTGACTCAAATGCTGATGTCCCTAGCACAGGTGAGCGATTGTCCTTTTCGGATCGAAAGGGCGGAACACTTTCACAGGGTTTTCTTTCTGAAGAACAACATGCAAATTTTAATTCAGAGAAAAATAAAGTTCTCGAGGATCCTATAAATTCATGTAACAAGGACACAGGGATTGAAAGTTATCCAATGTGCCTGCAAGAAGGTGGTTTTCGTTCTGCTATCTCCGTCGTCAACTCTCCAGACAAGCAGGATTTTACAGAGCTTCCAAACGCATCTCGAGAGAATGGTCAGAATCAACGTTCAAGTGCTGGTATTGGTCTTGCCGGGCAGTGCAAGGAGATTTTCTGTCATCCGAAGTCAGACAATGTGGGTATTGCGGGTGTTACTGCCACTGCAGCGTGCTATGATCATGGTATGAGGCCTGTCTTAGGTTCTGATAACAGCTCTTCCAGCCATGAGGTTAGATACGATGTTGTCAGGCAATCTTCTCCAGATGAAGCTACCAAGTCAGTTGAAAATTCAACCCTGAGGTGCGTAAATGATAGAAGCTGTGCAAATTCAAGTTGTAATACACCTAAGGGAGACAGCGGCAGCAAAAATGGTGAATTGAATGCTTTTGGCTTTTCCAGATCACGAGTTGAAGACATGGATCTTGCAAATGAACACAATTCAGCAGCATGGGTTGATACCACTTTGAGGCTATCTTTCAAAGATGCTACCACAGATCTTAAGGATAGTAGTGATGTTGGTTTACATCCTGGGATTGATGGAACTGATGTTGGAAAGTCAGGTAGTTTGACAGCTGCTTTGGGAGCTAAGGTCTTGAGTAGCAGCCCCATCATTGTTGAATTGGATGCGACTTCATTACGGTGTAAAAAGAAGAGAAGAATCTCAGCTGCTGAACTAGATCTATCTTTTGCATTTGCATCACAAGTTAATGAAAGAGCTAACAGTGCAAGTGTTCTTACTGCTGGTGCTGAAGTGATCTCAGATTCTTGCAGTGATCCAACCTCATTCGTGGAACCTTTGTGTACCTTAGATTTGTCAGGTTCACGTAAGGGATTTGATGAAGGAGATATGATCATGGCAGCATCTGCATCAATAGTTAATGAAGGAGCTACAAGTGCAAATCTGCCTACTCATGATGTTGAAGTCTTCTCCCATTCTTGCAATGATGAAAGCAAAGAAGGTTCCGCGCCCTCTGTGGATCCTTTATGTGCCTTAGATTGGTCAGGTTCACATAAGCAGCATAATGAAGGAGATATGAGCACGGCAGTTTCTGCATCGGCAGTGGAAATGACCTCCAGTTCTGAAAGTAGTCCTACTCACTCGGGTGTGGATGTTGCCATCTCCAGCATTACAGATCCATGTACATCAGATTTGCAATTTGCAAAGAAAGGAAATTCTATGTTGGTCGACAACCATCCAAGGAGAGGTTGTTTTAACACCAAGGCCTCTATTGACCGGGTTCATCATGAGGATAAAATAGATATGCCTAGATATGTGCTTCCAATAGTTCAAAACCTCTTCTCCAGTTCCGAAAGCAGAAAGACTGCAGATGCAACTATAGTTATGAATGACAGAAGCTTTCCAGAATCCATGGATTTTGAAATTGCTAATGAACATGGTATAGAACCAGAGGCTGTTGAAGGCCAAGTAGTTACTAACAGTATGATTACTCACCCTCAGTGTCGTCTTCCTTCACAACTCGAGTCTCTGATGTCAAATGAGGCATTAACTGCTGTCAATATGGAGACTGACAGTTCTTATCTTGAGAAGAACAACCCTCCATCTGTGTCAAATCATCATTCTTTGTCTGTGGACCTCAATGATCATATCACAGAGATTTTGCCTGACGCAGACAAGGTTGTTATCAATAATGGGAGTGCTCCGGACCATCATGCTTCAGATTTTCACTCTCCAGTAGCAAATGAAACATTGGATGTTGTAGGTACGGAGACTGGCAGTTCCTGTCTAGAGAAGGTCAATCTCCCATCTGGATCAAATCGTCTTTCTTTGTCTAAGGAGCTCAATCATCAAATCATGGAGATTTCGCCTGTTGCAATCGCTGAAATTAGTTATCCAGAGAAGTTGACTGGTGGCACTGAGACTTCCATATATCAGAATTTAACAGGGAAGTCTTCTGGAAGTGATGGAATTCCATCTGAGAAGCCTGCAACCGAAGGAAGGTACACACATAACATTTGTCTCCAGAATAGGAGAAATGTGGTGTGCTCTGATCAAGCTGTTGGAGGTGGCATCTCATTCTTGGGACGGCCTCCAAATCTTATGCCAAAAGCTTCACACGATATTATTCACAAGCAGAGTGGCATAAGTGAACTATCTTGTGGAAAGAAGCATCAGTCTAGTAGTGTGATTAGTAGGACCCAATCACACAGCTCGTCTTTTGTTTTAACTGCTTTGAGAAGTGCATCCCTTTCAACACATATCTCAAAACCTCGAACATGGCATCGAAGTGACAGTTCCATAGTTTCTACTCTCCCAGGACAGGAGGCTTCCTCAAGTATCATTACAAAACAAAGGCAACATCCTAAAAGTACTGCAGGGGCTCAGACTACATCTTATATCCGGAAAGGGAACAGTCTTGTTAGGAAACCTTCTCCAGTTGCTGCTCGATCAGAGGGTTCGTCTGCTTCAGATGCGGTCAATTATAAAACAGTATCTGACAGTAGAGTTGATGTTGTTGGTGCATCAGTTTTTGTCAGGGCTGTAGAGACAAGTAGCTCGATTGAGAGACCCAGAACACCTTTGCCAATTGTACCTAAGGTGCCACACCATGGTCCCAAGACTTCGGTTGACCGTAGATCGTCTCCTGTCGTTGAGAGCCATCTCAGTGATTCCGTTAGATCCAAGTCAGATCCATTAGTAGTTGTTGAGACTAAGGATACTTCAAAATCTTCAGAAAGCATGTTGAGAACTTCAGAAGCTCCAGCGATACAGACTGGTCAAGTTAAGAATTTAGAAAATTCAAATGAGGTAAATGAAGGCAGAGTAGGATCTTCCAATGTGAACATAACTTATGTTAAGAGGAAATCAAACCAGCTGGTTGCCACCTCGAGTCTCTCCACTGTGTTGCCACATGGTCCTTGTGATAGCCAAGCTCTGTCCTCTGAAAGCTATTACAAAAGAAGAAGAAATCAGCTGGTTAGGGCTACATTGGATGATGGCCTAAAACCGGGATGTAGAAGTTCTGATGATAGGAACTTTGAAGGGAACTCTGCACTGGGTATGAAATCGAGCGGAAGTCTTAGCAAGAGACAGTTGCGCAAAGGTGCGTGTGATGAAGTTCTGTTTCAGTTTTTGTTTCTTCTGGATGCATGTCATGAAACTGGCGTAGCTTATATGCCTTCTGAGCAGCATTTTCCTTGAATACCATCTCTATCATTCTAGATATTATGCCTTTACTTGTAAAATCACAGATGAAACTTATCGTGGTCCTTTACAGCCTCTTCTATGTGGAATGGGTGATATGGATTTGGGCTTTACTGATCACCCCCAGCTAATGTTGTATCACAAAAGCACTTAATTGGTTTTACTTGTTAGTTTGTGCAGTGTATGTAAGCAGGTGTAATTTGTGCACATGTGTTCCCTGCTATTGCCGCTTTATGTGCTTGCTTAATATTTTTTTCAATGCATTGTCATGTGAAAACTCATACTTGGAGTTATTTAATTTATAGTCCTGTCTACCCTTCTGGGTTTAAACATTTCAACTATCTATGATTCAGCAACAATGTGGCTGTAGAATTTCTTCATTCATGTCGTTTTACTCATTACTGGGAATGGGAAAAGAAATATGAACTATGAAAGTGAGAATTATCTGTTCTAATTTGACAGGCCACCTCATTCTTGTTTAGTAAACCTTATTAGTAAGAAGTGGTTTGCTCCCTGGTCTATGAAGCTGGGACCATTTTCAAACTGCACTTCTTGTGTTGCTTGGACTTGATATGTGCAGCAAACGCAATGCTAAGCTGGTTTAATGTTTTTACAGTTGTGACAAAGATAAAGAAACCATCCAAGTATTCTTTCGTCTGGACGCTAAATGGTACAAAGTCATCAAAGGATAAATGTCATGCATTGCACTATCAGAGAATCCTACCTAACTTGTTTCCTTGGAAAAGAGCAACCTACCGGAGAAACTTCTTGCCAAGTTCATTATCCAGTTCCAAGATTTCTTCTATAATTAGGTATCGTACCATATGGTGCTTTCTTAAACTCTTGTGGTGTGTATTTTAGTTCTTCAGTATTTCCTTCCTCTGAATGGTACAAATTTGCTGCTATCTTTTAGTAAGAAATTGCTGCTCTCAAGAAGCCATGATGCCATTTACACGAGGTCAAAACATGGGTTTTCACTCCGAAAATCCAAGGTCTTAAGTGTTGGTGGTTCTAGCTTGAAGTGGTCAAAATCCATTCAAAGCCGTTCCAAGAAAGCTAACGAGGTTTGTTCCGAGTATTTCTTTTCGTAGCTTTGGCTGATTTTCTTTATTAATTTGAGGGTTAGATACCGGTCTATAATTTTTTTTATGGAAGTACAGGAAGCTACTCTGGAAGTTGCTGCGGCGGACAAGAAAAAAAGAGAACAAAATGGAGTCGGGGATCTTGTTCCCGAGACCAAGAATAGAAATAATTCTCCTAGTAAGTCATTTTAACCGTCTAGGCCTTCCCTGCTCATCTTGTATTGGCATCAACTTAGGATTGTAGTCTCATTTGTAATGGATCCCTCAGGTCATACCCTTCGTAGAGTATCAGGTTTGTCTTGCTGCTACTCTGGAGTTCCATTTTTCTTTTTTCTCTCGATATGTTCCAAAGCATATTAAAAGTCAGTTTAAATATGCAATGTGGTATCAGCATATCAGCAACTAACTTATTGAACTTTAAGAACAGGATTGTAGTTTGTTTTCCAGTTTCTGACCTTACCCTATGCATGTCTCTGTGATCCTTCAATTAAGATTAGGTTATATACAATTGAATATTCACCCTCTTCCCCCCCCCCCCCCCCCTAGTTTACGGTCCGGTGGTGTATGTCATTCGTAGTGTCACTCATAACAGATTGCCAATGTTTCACATTCACTGTTTCCAGGATCTGAATCCTCACGAGTGTCCCTCGTTAATGGTGTCATCAGATGTAATGCTTGCCATTTGTGTGCTAATGCCATGAAGCACACTGATTGTTTTGATTGAAACCTACAACTTATGGTCACGAAGTGCATGCTTATTACATCAAATAGGTCTAATGAATGAATTGGCATTTATTATGCGTAGATGAACTATCTGCGTATTCTTGTGCACCACAAACCGAGAAGGAGTCCAAGAAACCATATGTCCCAAGACGATTTACGATAGGAAAAGATGAGTATGTCTTACTATCTTTACTTTATAATTCCTTATGTATTCAGTTGATGATATCTATACATTGTTTTCTAGAGTATCGAGTACCAGATAATCAAAATTCCGAATATTGGCAGATACGTCCGGATTGGCAGTGGAAATAAACTCATTAGAAACCCCAAGAAGCGAAGTCGCATCTTGGCGAGTGAGAAAGTTAGATGGAGTTTGCACACTGCAAGGACAAGGCTTGCTAAGAAGCGGAAGTACTGTCAGTTCTTCACAAGATTTGGCAAGTGCAACAAAGATGATGATGGGAAATGTCCATACATTCATGATCCCTCCAAAATTGCAGTGTGCACGAAGTTTCTCAATGGCTTATGTTCCAATGCTGACTGCAAATTGACTCACAAGGTTTGTCATGATAATATCTGAGCCAGATGAGACTCCTTCGTAATACTTGTGCTACTTTTACATTCAAAGTTTTGGCTTATGATTGTAATGTACTTTAACAGGTCATTCCAGAAAGGATGCCCGACTGCTCTTACTTTTTGCAAGGTGGTCCATTTTGCTTCTGTTCTGCTTTGCATACAATCCTTGGTGAGAAAGAATGCAATAGTTCTAACACCCATTAGTTTGGCAGGTCTTTGCACAAACAAAAGTTGCCCATATAGACATGTGAATGTCAGCCGAAGTGCCTCTACGTGTGAAGGATTTCTTAAAGGATATTGTGCTGACGGAAATGAGGTTACTATTCTGACTCTTAACTTCGCATGCAAATACTGATTGTTTCCTGATAATGAAATCGTGTGGGGTATTTTCAACCCTGTGAAGTATGCCTGGTACACTGATAATAGCCGGCGAACTTGTGGTGCAATGTCTTCAATGAAGATGACAAAATTTCCTCCCTGTTTCTACATGTTAGCTATACTATGGGTTTACGGTTTGCCTTCTGTATTGACATGGAACCAGAGGGTAGCAAATGAGTTAGGTTGGTGGATTGTGTTTAAATGGGTTTCCGAGTTTGTGGATTGAGCTTTAAATTATGGGTTGTTGGCATCCCTTGGAAATTGATGTGGTTTGGAGAGTTGTTGCCAAGTTTAAGGCCCGTTGGTTTAAGCTTAAGTATTGTGGGTTAAAATGTAAAATGATCGCTGGATTAGTTTGTAAATAGCTAAATAAGGCTACTGCAGTATTCCGTGAAGAAGAAAAGTTAGATTTAAATGCACCAGTCGGCACAATTGTGAAAGTTTAGGTGTTAAAATGTATGCAGGAATCTTTAGGTACTTATTTAATGTTAGTTCTGCAAAAATGCTTCTACCCAACTCATATGCCCACCAACCAATGGGATTTCGATCAAATGGGGTTGGGATTAGATGGGTTTTAAGTGCGTGGGTTAGGTTGGTGGGTTGGGGTTGATATTTGCGACCTCCGTGAAGCAGGGATCATATGTTTAACTCATCTATTGCATGCATCTCTCTCTTTTGTTTGTGAATTTCTGCAACATGAAATGTGGTACACAGTGTCAGAAGAAGCATAGCTACGTCTGCCCAAGTTACGAAGCAACAGGAACTTGTCCCCAGGGATCCAAATGTAAGCTTCACCACCGAAAGAACCGTGTCAAAGGAAAGAAACCCTACAAGCGATTACGGGAGAAGAACCAACATGGACATGGGCGATACTTTAGTTCAACTGCACGTGTCAGTGCTGCTTCCCGTTCCGGAACTTCTGTTGTCGAGCGGCCGTTGAGCGAAATTGGAGATGCAGGTGCCGACTTTATTAGCCTTGGCTTCAGTGATGATGAGGAAGCTGCTGGAGAAGAATGCAGCAACAACCGAAGAGATGACGATGATATCGATGAGCAACTGAACTGGAGTGATGATGGGGAGGACCTGGAAGACTTGGAAGTAAGTAATCTGGACGAGCTAATTAAGCCAGTCCGGATATTGAACATCAGATGACTACTGCCATTATCAGGACAGTGGTGCGTTGGCGCTTAATAGGAACAGTGAGGTGCCTCTGGAAGGAATCAGAATGTGCAGATTCATCTTCTGTTGTCTTAGTTCTTGGTAGCCTGTATAGTTGGGGGGGGGGGGGGGGGGGGGGGGTTTGAATCGAAGATGGTATTCGGTTAGCTCTGCAGTTCCTCAAGATGGCACAGGTAGGTGACTTTGTTGTTGTCACTTCTCAGTTTTGATTAGGTTCCTTAGTTAGCACAACTGGTCTCTTTTTAAGATAGAGGATGTTAGAGCCAAAGAAATAGGGTGTTAGGATTTTTCTAGGTTTGCCCAATTGTAATTAACTGTGTAAGGCAGAATGTAATGAATCGATACAGCTTTATGTGATCTGTTACCTAATCTCTACATATACATGCGGCCTTTCTTAGAAGCAAATGAACTTTTCCCATCCAGTAGCTAATTTTGAAAAAATCTCAGCTTTTGCATGGGTATGATAAACTGCCAATTCTTCTGGATGCATTATCATGTTGAAGCAAACAATTTCCAGTTTTAGGATTACTTGCTGCAACAGTTGGATTTCATTTTGCTAGCGCGTCGATAGGGGTAGGGCGTTGGCTGGCGCCATAAAATCACACTAGTCACTACTGAACCGTACAATCCAACGATATCAACCAGCGCTAATCCCTATTCTATCAGCAAATTACAGGAACCTGCCAAAAGAAAAAAATATATAGCTCTCATATGCGAGAAAAAAATGGACCTGCGCTCTTTCTTCTACCCTCCATTTCTGTAGTGAAATACCCAAATTTTATCCTATCCCCAAAAACAAATGGACCTAAAGCACATTGGCCCTACACAAAGCCTTCCCAACTGAAAATGGTTGCAACAGAAAGTTCCACCAAAACACCCATAGCAGAACCCATTATCCCATTTTCTCTCTCTCGACCAGCATTCATCAATGGCAGCTTCTGCATCATCATCTTACATGGCCTTCTCCACGGCAGGTATGGTTGGCAAACGACACTTGAGAAACAACAACAGAAGGGTACTTTCAGTTTCAGCACAGCAACAACAACAACAACAAGAAACGCTCGAGGAGACGACCAAGGTAGACACCACAAACGAGACCCTTCCAGTGAAGAAGCAGCCAACCACACCGAGGCCGGTGGAGCCACAGATCAACGTGAAGAGCAAGAACATGGGGAAGGAGTATGGAGGGGAGTGGCTGAGCAGCACCACTCGCCACGTCAGGATCTTTGCTGCCTACATCGACCCCGTGACCTGCGAGATGGACCAGACGCAGATGGATAAGCTCACTCTGATCCTCGACCCGACCAACGAGTTCGTGTGGGATGATGTTACCTGCACCAAGGTCTACTCTTACTTCCAGGAGCTCGTCGATCACTATGAGGTAACTATGCTTCCTTTCAGTGGCGGGCAACGGTCATGGTTGAACCTCATCATACCACTGTTGAGCAAACCTATACCGTGATCAAAGCCAATTTGATGCTTTATATGGTTAGGAACACCGATTCGAGCGTGCCTAAGCACAGGTCCTGATGGTGTTCATAACCACAAATGAAGAGGGGTTCTAGAAACAAGAAACTAAACCAAAATGATCCTTCTATTTAGAGCTGATTTCGATAGCAGTTTCGATCACAAGCCGGCCAGAACTACATGATTCACAGTTCGGGTCAAACCACACCGATTTGTCATGTCCTTTTTCGCGGCTTAAATCAAACCGGCATGCTCCCCTCCACTTCCTAGTCCCATTATAACAAACAGTACAGAACAATACCTGCAATCTGTTTCAACTCAATGCCATTGCAATGCCAATATGTGATCTGTCCTGCTATGGAACAAGTTTCTGACAATTCTGTGTTGAAAGCAGGGGGCACCATTGACGGAATACACGCTTCGACTAATCGGTTCGGACATTGAACATTACATAAGGAAGCTGCTGTATGATGGAGAGATCAAATACAACATGAGGGCAAAGACGCTCAATTTCAGCATGGGGAAACCCAGGATCATATTCAACGAGGACAACAAGGGTAGTCCAGATGTACAGTGATGGCAACAAACTACATAGTTAGAGCAGGCAATATTATATAATACATATTTGAAAGTCTGTTTGCCGCCACCAGGAGTCTTTCAAATAGTTAGTTAAACCTCTACCCAAAAGCTGTCCTGCCTCATCTCCCCCTTTCCAAATAAATGTCTGAATACTCTAATTCCGGGGAGCTAGTTTGCTACTTGGCAGCACTTTCAAACATGACTCGTCCAGCCAGGGATGGAAAGATCCAGGAAGCGGTAAATTCTGCAGATGAAAAAAAGGTATAAATAAAGCCCTTCTTAGTAGTAACAAAAAGACGAGTCAAACTATTACAAGCAAGAAGCAAACCACCAGATATCGTTGTCAAATAAGCAAGCAAGCTTCACAACTCTAGATTCAAGAGGATAATTAGAGGAATTGTCAACTAGGGAAACAAAGAACGGGAGTGAGATCGTGTAATAGTTATGTAGTCCCACACTATGTTGACTATGTTAGGACAGATACGATTATTAAAACCAGTATATGAGTAAGCTTCAGACCAATTATCAGTTCAAGAAGAAAAGAAGCACTAACCTCCAACCAATAGAAAAACCCACGTAACAAGTTCAACCTTACGGCGCGATTGCACTCCGAATCAGCCTTCAACTCGTGAAGCTTTCTTGCAAAATCTACAATAATATATAACCAAGTTATCAACCTGGAGGAATCCATAACTACTGACAGAATCACAGATTAACGAAAAGAAAAGGGGATAAAATTGTAGTAACAAAATGTTGTACTTCAACTTGTAGCACAGCCAAAGGGCATACCTGTATATTTATCAAGGTAAGATTGCCCAAAAGCTTCCAGCTTGATCTCCACTGTTCGTCCATGCCGGAGTTCTCTATCTTTCACCATTTGCTTCCTGCAAGAAACTTCTTTCAACAACTCCTCGTACTCTCTCCGGTCGTAAGGCTTTCTTAGATTCTCAAGAAGCTTCACCCTGAACACAGAGTTGTAGTGATTCCCACCATGGCCTTCTTCAGGTTCCAAGTCAAGATCCTTCAAATGTGAACACAGCCAAAAGAAAAAAAGACGAAATCTTTTAAAAAACCACAACAGGAGAATAACAAAATAGCCCACAACAATAACGAGGGTGATGAGAGGAATGCATTACAATGATTCCATGGTTCTTTGCTAGCACGAATGGAGTGTTGACGTCATTAGCAAAGGTGGCGGCATCAATCTCCATTAAATCTGAATCAGATGGGCTGGTGGGATAGCTGGTGGGATAGTCATGATATAACACTCTTTCGCCAACTGAAGGGACAAATTCAATGTGTGTTGGCTTCTTCTTCAGAGAACAGAGGAATATTTCATAGCATTTGTCAATTTGATCCTCATCTATTTTAGGTCTGCAGCATTGGTTTCTGTTTGAAGGCGTTTTAGTTGTCGCAGGTTCTTCGCAGGGAACAGGATTCAAGGACCCCTTTTTCAGTGTTTCTGCAGAAATCAAACGTCTTCTTTTCCTATCCTGCATGTCATCCAGCTCTACTTTAGGTTTGCACTGTTCATTTTTGTTCGAAGGCATTTTAGTTGTTGCAGGTTCTTCACAGGGGACAGGATTCAAGGACTCTTTTCTCTGTGTTCTGTCAGGAATCAAACGTCTTCTTTTCATATCGTGCATGTCGCTCACATCCTTCTGAGCTTTCGTTTTCTGTTCTTCTTTTCGTACCGGAACTTTTTCTGTTCTAGTCTCTCCGGACTTGGGCTTAACCCTGGCTGGCATTGGAGCTTCTCTGCTATGTGCATTTTCTGGTGCATCTCCCTTCTCATCTCTGATCTTTGGTTTCAAGGGTGAACAGCTCCTCCTCTCCCTACCAGACGCAACCTTTGGATCCCCTCGTTCTTCCCCCTTCTTTTTGCTCTCTCGGCAAGGCACAGTTTCAGTTGTTTTATCTCTCACCAAACTGGGTACTAGAACATTTTTCTCTCTTGTGTCTCCGGACTTCGACTGAACCCTGGCTGGCATTGGAGCTTCTGTCCTACATGCATTTTCTGGTGCATCTCCCGCTTCATCTCTGATCCTTGGTTTCAAGGCTGAACAGCTCCTCCTTTCCCTAGCACACGCAACCTTTGAATCCCCACGTTCTTCCCCCTTCCTTTTGCTCTCTCTCTCCGAAAGGTCTTCCATTTGGGACTTCTCTTCTCTTCTAAATCCACTGCGTACCCCATTTTCAGTTTTGTAAGAGAACTTCCTCCCCGTCAATAAACTCTTGTTGCTTCCATTAGGAACTCTCGGATCACATCCAGCACCTCCTTCATTTCCTATCTGGGAATGACCTTGAGTTTCATCGCAACGTAGCCCCAGACAAATATCAGGTTCTCCATTCTTTCGCTGTAAAGAAGTCTGTCTTGGCTCACCAGCGTCACATTGACCACGAGAAACATATTGCTTTTCATAAACAAAAGATAGTGACTTTCCATTGCTCACAGGTAGCTCGACACTGTATGCAGTCCCATCTTCTCTCAGGTTCTCTAAGAAACTAAGATATGCCAGATCAGAAGCTTCGAGGATATCATCATCAGCAGTTTGACCTGGATCCGAGAGATCGAAATGCCTGCAATGGTCTGCGACTTCTTCAGCAGGAGCTACATTGTCAAAAGACGTATCATCATCACCAGAGCCTCCAATCTCACCGGCTTCTTCCACAAACTCAGAATTACCATGAAAGCTATCTCCCGACTTATCATCACAACCATCATCAGTAGCCTCATCACCAGTATCATCCTTGCAACTCATCCCATTCTTATCACCGGAGTAGCATGCCCGGAGAAAAGAGTCGTCCACATACCGAGCAGCTTCATTGTCACCATCCATAGACGCGCCACATCCACTGGTAGCACCTGGATCCCCACCGTTACCGACGCCATCATCCTCTGCTCTAATGCTGCTGCTACCACCACCTTTCTCAGCCAAGAGTTGGAAAAGGTCAATGTCCAAGTCCGGCCAGTCCCCCTTTAGATCAGAACACATACCTCGAGTGGCGGCTTCACTATCACAGCCACTAGTACCACCAACCCGGTCACCGGAATCAGCTGCTGACGGAAGGCCCAGACCCAAGCTATCCAAGAAGAACTTGTAATCATCATCTGGAGGATAATGATGGTCGTTACTAGCACCCTGGTTAGGCAAATTTCCCCTAGTTCTTGTCCGGGTTTTGGCAGTGCTGCCACCACTGATACCATTCTTCGATGGAAAACCCTCGTGACTTAAATCAGCCATGTGCCTTCTCTTCTTTCGCCTCTGCATCCTCTCATCTTCCATATAATCGGTCCCTCTACTTTTCCTTTTCAGAGACCCCATTCAGTTCACTCCTACAAACCCTTTTGTCTCAACATTCAACAACCTATCATCGGAATTTTTTTTTAAAAGTGAGAAGATCAACAGAATGCAAACTGAAGACATTCCAAAAACTGTTGATTCCATACGAACCCAGTGGAAAGTTCCAAAAGTGCTTGCAAAGGAATCATTCAAAACATGAAATCCGCACATGCAAGGTTAAGATGAATGCAGCTGAGAGGCGATATTGTAGGAAGAACAATAGAGAAGAGAGAAAGGTGAAAGATACTTACTTTTTGGGTTACCGAGGGCGGGGCGGAGTGGGTTCAGCTAAAAAGAAGCCATGATCAACCTCGGAAAGGGGAAAGCAAACGAAACCCTCTTGAAGCGAAATTGGGGTTTTCTTTGAGGAAGTAGAAGAGCGGCCAGAGGGGCTCTCTCTCTCTCTCTCTCTCTCTCTAAATTTTTGGGCTTTTTCTTGCTTGGAGCGCTGTAACGGCTGTTGCTTCTACTCCGCCGCGGCTTGCTGACTGACTCTACTGAAAGAGAGAGGAACAGAGGGAAGAAAACGGAAAAGAAAAGAAGAGGGAAGGCTAGTCGGGTCGGGTCGGGTTATTGGTTTATCTTTTGGGGTTCAGCTCAACTGCTCAACTGATTGGCCCGGGAATCTAAAATGTCTGACAGAGTTACTTTACTATGTCTACTGTTTAGTATTGTTTACTATCGCTAACTTTTTTCTGTGTGCAGGAAAATGTCTTTCCTGTTGGACTCGGAAATTAAAAAAGCTCCACTCTTCTTTCCCTTCATCGTTCCCTCTTCCTTTGAAGAAACAAGAAAACTTCCTTCTTCTTTACCTTCTCTCATCCTCTCCTCCTATTCCCTCTCTTCATTAGCCAATCTGATTTCCCCCTACATATTTCTAGATCGATAGGTCGGACGAAAATGAAGCATGACTACTTTGGAGGAAACGAGATTCATAACCCATGAGTACTTCCGATGAAAATGGTGGAGTTTCATATCCATATGGCACTGGGAGGCGGCGGAGGAGATCGGTCGGCGTGCCGAGGTAAGTTTTGCTGTCGTTGATCCAGCTCCCAGCGAGCTCGTTTGCGGGGAAGAAGTTATACGTGTATGTGGAATCGGTTCCCGAATTTCATTTGTTATAACCGAATCTTGTATTCGAGTGGAACGATGGTATCATCGAAAAAGTTCCCTATTTTTTTCTGGAACTTATCTCTTCTGGAGATGTTGACAAACTCAGGGGGACGATCGCCTGAGATGTTGCCGGCGGTCACATGGCCACCTCAAGCGGGTTCCATGGAACCGTTACAAGGGTTTATATTCCCATTAAAGCTTCCATTAATTGGAGTTAAGGGCCTATAAATGGGCAATACCATTTTTGAAATGGCTCATGGCCTTATTCATGGTTTTGGAAGGCATTGGTGTTGCTGAGTGCCCATTAAGTCAATTTACCATCATTAGGTCCTTTTGAAGGATCGTTTAATTGATTCCTCAATAATAAAGGGAGGTTGTGACATTGATCTTTTCTCCCGTTTATTGAGGATTTTTCGAGACGGCGGAAATCCTAGGGTTTTCGCAGTTTTGAACGGCGACAAAGTTTTCTCTACGTTTATAGTGATCTAGAGGGACAAAGTTTCCTTCTGAAAGTAGGTAACAAGGGTGGCTTCACAACCCTATTTAATTTTGTTTACAGCGAGTCGAGGTAAAAGATTTTCTTAGTGAAATTTTCTCTAGCACATAGCAAAGAGCACAATTGGAATACCTAAGTGATATATTCTGCTTAGAGAAGGATTGGGAAGCAAGAAAACGTGTGCTGCTTCATACACAGTCAAAACGGGATACCATCTAGCTCTAGAGCTCTCCTTAGATTCAAGTCGAAAACCACAGGTCCAAATCATTGATTCTCCTATCTGGAAGAAAACATGGAATATGCTAACCCCTCCGAAGCTGAAGTTCTTTATCTGGCAGTGCCTTAGAGTGATATTACCAACAGTAGTAGCACTCAAGTCCAGAGGAGTAAACTGTCTAGTTCGCTGCCCAGTTTGCTGGAGAAGACCGGAAAGTCTTGAACATCTGTTCTTCAAATGCCCCTTGGCCACAAGATTGTGGTCGCTCATGGGTCTAAATGATTTCATCTCCTCGGCCCCGACTGTGAATTTCAGTCTCTGGTGGCGACATGTTATGCTTTCTGAGCACCCCCAAACCCACATTCTCCTATACGTTTGTGTATTATGGAGGATCTGGAAGTCTAGATTTAAGGTGGTCTTTGAGCATGTCCAGCCTCATGCCCAGTCTCTCGCTCGTCAGTGTTTTTTCCAAGTTCGCGAACTGTCTTCCTCCCTTCCTTTGGTCCCTGCTCCGCCCCAGCCTTCCCGTTCTCGCCTCTCGTCTTGGTCCCCTCCTCCTGATGGCTTTGTGAAGATCAACTTTGATGCTGCTGTTCGTCCTTCTGGGTGCTCGTCTGGTCTTGTGGTGCGCAGTTCAGATGGGCATGTGGCTCTGGCTTTAGGGTCTCTCCATCCCGGTATTGCTGATCCCTATCTTGCGGAGCTCCTAGCAGCTAGGGACGCCTTCGCCCTTGTAGTCTCCAAATTGCTGCCTCGGGTCATCATAGAAGGAGATTCAGAGGTGGTGATTCGTCAGCTTCGTCAAGGTGCTCTCTCTGACTCCATTGGAGGTCCGGTGCTTCGGGATTGCTTCCTTCTCCTTTCTTCCGTCTCTGTTTCTTTAGAGTTTAGGGCAGTTCCTCGGACTGCTAACAGTGCTGCCCATAGAGTGGCGCAGAAAGCACTGTTACTCTCCCCTTTAGAGTTATGCGCCTTTGATTTTGTGGGTTGGCTTCACTGATGTATTGGGTTGGGCAGGGTTGGGGTAGATTGTATAGGTTCTCTCTTGACATTTCTTGGGAAAAAAAAAATGTCTTTCCTGTCCCTTTTGCCTTTTACCTTCCCTTGGCCTTGGGAATCGGATGAGTTATAAACTGATGCAGGATTGCCGGTTTCTGTTCAGTCCAATCACAATAATTACGCTTCTGCTTAACAAAACAAATCTCACCATTATTGATTTATTTCAGCTCCAGAGCAATTTAGTTGCAGGTATTAAATTATCAGGGAGATTCTTGTGTTGGTCTTCTTGTTTCATCATATCTCGCACCTCGTAAGTACAACGGAGATGCTCATATCACGACAAAAAAAGTCTCTTTTAATCGTTGGAGTAATAATGCATGCCAATTTAGATAGAGAATTAGACAAAGACTAGCACACAAAAGCCAGAAACTTGCCTCAATCCTTACCTCGCTCGACCATTTGCCTGCACCAGATCTCTACAGCCAAGCAATAGGAGGAGCTTTAGAATGATAGGCGACCGACGGAAAATGGCATGAATCGAATCTCTGTCTTCTGATCTCCCAACCGCGTCCGATTTATTTCACTAAGGATAGCTTTTTTGTTGTCGAATCATCGAAAAATATGAACAAAGTCATGCTGGCTTCAGGACTCATTATGACGCCGCAGGCTTCCCCTATTATGAGACGCTATCAACCCAATACCTTTCGGCTTTCACCCTCGTCGAATCTATTTCCAGGATTTTCTGACACCTATTTCCATGGTGATAGACTGATAGTTATGAACTGCACAAAAATGCCTAATACCCACCCACCCGAATTGAACAGTCTCAACAGATCAGACAAATATACAAACTTCAAAAGTCGGAACAAAGTTTCATTTGCTAGATTCTGAAAGTCAATCTTCATGGTGATACATAGCCCCACAGACAAAGAATTTGTACAAATGAGGGTCAGTTTCTCCATACTGAAGAGAAGGAAGAAAGGCCTTTTCTCAACAACACTCGAACACTAGGATTCGTTACATGATCTCCTGAGCTGAATAAAGTTTTGTAATGTAAAACCCTTGTAGCTAAAAACGACCATAGATCAGCTGCCCAATAACCAACCTATTCCTGATACATGGAAGAAAGGAGATTGCATTACGAAACAGAACCAGTAATGACAACGATGATGACGATAATCGATGCATGGACAGCGTACGAAAGGAAGAAAAACCTTACATGTTCCATATCTGAAGGTCCAGTAGGGATCTCATCGGTGGCCATTGCTTCTGCTTTTTCTCCTGACTGGGGCACTTCATCGAAAAGTTTCAAATCCGCTGGAAGCTGCCCTGTACTCAGTGCCTGCCATCATTCACCAATAAGGTATAATGTTTAACTTGGATCATAACTGGGCCGTTTTATGAAGACCGAAATTATCTTGTTGCAATGACCAGATCTGGCTAAATAGAAAGTATACCTGCTCTAGTCTGGCAACCTCTTCAAGAGTTTGCGAATTCACAATGGCAGCCTGTTCGGGGAACACATAGTACAACCAAGTGAATCAACAAGTAGTAGAGCATTACACTAATGCAAACAGAAACATAGACAAGGATTATCAAGTAGTTTTTTCGAGGGAGGTACCTTAATAGCTATGATTTGTTCCGGTGTGGGTCCTACCACCTTGCCACTCTGTTGTTCCCCTGCAACATCCACATCAATAGGAGCATCAGCAGGGGTGAAAGGCTTAACCACTTCTTTTTTAGCTTCCTCTTCCACTTCCTTCGACGCAAACAAGCTCTCTGCCTCTGCCCTCTCCTAAACAACCATATACATCCTTATCAGCAAAATCCGAACATGATAATAGATGCAGGATTAAAGCAAATAGCAAGTACAGACAAAGCAACTATAGAGCCGATCTTCAACAGTGGGTGATGTGAAATAAGTATATTAGCAAGTGCTCAACTTTATGGTAGGTGACTACCTAATGGCTGACCGCTAGTTTGCTTATCCATAAGTGGTGATTTACAGAATGACGAATAATATTGAAGAGGGCATCAAACCACATTTGAACTTATTCAACGAATAAAGAAACACCAAATGAATTTGAAGATATGCTTCGAGAAGTGACCACCAGAATATGTAGAAACTAACAATGATTTCCAATATAGAGCAAATAATGGAATCCAGAAGCTATGCTTAGTTCAAAAAATGAAACAAATAAAGCCAGGACGGCAAATGAAAAGGAATGTTGATGGATTCTTGACTTGGAAATATAAGTATCCATTAAGGAAAGTAACAGGGACAAATATGAGACATACACGATCTAAGAATATGATCTCACCTTCGCTTTCACTTTCTTGAAATCAAGAACGCGAAGGGATTTTAGTTTGAAGATTACATACAGCCTATAATTGGGCCGCTTTGTGATGTTGTTGTCTAGAAGACTGAGGAACTGCAGTTTTGGAAGAGAGGAGAGAGGATCAATCTCCACCAAATTAACAAGTCTGTTGTTTGTCAGAACTAATGAATGCAGTTTCGGCAAGAACTCTGTACCAAAGAAGAAACATAAGAGTTGATGAGCATTGCCCACACTTAAAGTAAAATGTTTACTTCAATATATTGTGCACAAAAAGCCAAACAGCCGTCCAAAGTTTAAAACATTACCTCCGATTCTAGCGCTAATACGAGTAATCCTGTTGTTATTCAGAAGCAAAGTGCCCAAGCGATTAAGAAATGGC